CTTCTCCCAGCTTTATATGCTGAGCATACATCATATGGTATGGAATGTCCCTTTGGTCAGTTGAGTTCATCTGTCCTGGCTGTGTCCCCTCCCAGGTTCTTGTGCACCCCCACCGCACTCACTGTTGGGGTGGGGTGAGGAGCAGAAAAAGCCTTGACTCTGTGTAAGCACTGCTCAGCAGTAACTACAACATCCCTGTTTTATCAATTCTGTTTTCAGCACAGCTCCAAAACATGGTCCCATACCAGCTACTGCAAAGAAAATAAACTTTATCCCAGCCAAAACCGGCACAAAAGCATTAAGCAGATTAAAATGTTTGAAAAAAATATGGTGAAATTGTGATGGTAAAGCAGAACTCACCATTGATCAGTCAGGTTTCTGTGCATTTTTCTGCATGGGAGCATGCAGTTGGTACTGTACCATTGAAAAGGTTTTCAGGGTTGGTTTTCACAAACACTGGGAAACACTGTTGCCAGTAGTGCTTGTGTATGCCAGAGAGACTGTGGATATATGAGGTAATGAAGAGCAGAGGTCACTGGGCTTAGAGAAACATGTTTCAGTCAAGTGAAACATAGGGACTTACATCTAAGAGCTACAGAACTGGACTTTGGGGGTTTGTCTTTGGACTAGTGTCTGAGAAAAAGCATTGGCATCGTGGTAGAGCATCAGGCAAATGACTCCCCATTGGACTCTGTGGCCAATGAGACTCATTTAGATGTGCAAACAAGAATATGAAGTGGCCTTACCTTTGTATTTTTTCCTTTTGTGACTGCTACAGTGGGGTTTCCAGGTCTGGGCTCTTCACTTCAGAAAAAAAAATGACAAATTGAAGAGGTCACAGAGAAGAGACACAGTTTAATTAAAGTATTAGAAAAATACGTTTTCTACAGAAAGACTCGGGAGTTCAATTTATTTAGATATCAAAGAGAAGGTTAATGGGTGATATGATCAGAGTCTCTAAGTACCTACAAAAGAAAGTAATTTGATAATAGAGGGTTCTTCAGAGCAGGGAAAAAGATAGAAAAAGAGTCAGTGGATACTGGGTGCTGCAGTGAGACAAATTCAGACTGGAATAAAATCATGTTTTCTTGTTTAAACAATGATGACCATTGTTTTCACAAATAAGTTACTCAAGGTGCCACTAAGTGCCTACATTAGCAGGCTTCTTAAGACTTAAAGTAGAAGGTTTTTGTTAGAGAACATTGTCTTATCCAGTCTCTGCTTCCAGAGTGAAGAAAGAAATTAAAAAATGTGATTGTAATAAATGTATTAAGAACTGTTCATACTATAGAACCGTGGTGGTAGTCTCCATTTTTTTAAATGATGCTGAAAACTGTGTTTCTTTTAACATAGTTATGCTGTCATGCTGTCCTCAACCTGGCAGGGCCTGTAGGCTTGCCTTTTTATTGAAGGCTCATCACCAGGCATTCTTAATTTAATGAGACTATTTACATGGGCCAGAACCAGCATACTTAATGCTGCAAGTATGAACATTTTTTTGCAGTGGTAACAAGTTATCCCAGGCATAAGGGTTTTTCCATAGTGAGTCCCTTAGGGAATGGTGTTGTGATTCCAGTCAGTGGCTTCCAGCCATGGTTCGTTGTGCTGCAGCGGGAGCCTGCTGCCCCCGAAGCTCAACAGTGGTACCTAGAACTGGCTGAGAACAGATTGTTGTATGCATCAATGATGGCCTGGGTTCTTCCTTCCACTGAGCGCTTCCATGGGCTGGCAGCTTTGCTAGAATGCTTCTCGAGCACATGCTACCTACCTATTTAGCAGAAATGAGGCCTATCCCACAAAATACTGTCAGTCCCCACCACGACCAAATCTACTCCATAGTTGCATAAAACCACTTCTTTGACACATATAATGCTGTGTTAAATGACATTATGTTGATGCTTTCTATAATGTTCATCTGTCTGCTATAAGGTCTTAGAACCTTCTCTGATTCCCCAAAATTCCTATTTCAATAACCCAAGTTAGATGTTGATACAAACTACAAGGTAAATGTCATAAATACATTTCTTAGTGTTCCCATCAATTACAAATAATTTTGGTCTTCATTAAGAGGTTTGCAGTATCCAAGCTTTTGATTTTGCTTTGGCTATTTTTCCCTCTTCCACACAGGCTCCCTTCTTTCCATTTTGGCTAGTTTCCAGGTTAAATGGTTCATTTTCTCTGTACCTCTTTCTCCACTCGAGCTTTATGTGAAGCTATGTGCATCTTCTCCAGATCCACACAGCTTCTGTATTAGTCAGGGACAGGATGAATGCTTTGGTTTCACCTTTATATGCTATGTTAATTCTTGCTTCCAAAACATCATTCTACGTAGTAGAGTGTCCAGAGGAAAGTAAGTTCTTCTGACCTCTTTCAGGTCATGGCATCTAGTTTCCATTTAAATGGTTGAAAACCACTCTTCTGGTCAAACAGGTCTGTGAGTTGACAATCATTAGCAATTGATAGACTGCATAACCTTCATAATAAGAACTATTATATCAGAAAGAGAATATAGGGTAATCCCAGGGAGATCTCCCAAATCATGTTAATAGGGTCCTTAATCATTACAGCAGTTTTTTATTAAACTATCTTCCATTCTTTAATGTAAATGACAGATTTCACTGTGCTAATCTCTGGCGTTAGGTTCTGTTTAATGCTTCTTGTATGCAAAATATATTTGAGCCCCCACAGCCTCTTATCCACAACTTATATTTTAGAAGGTTATTTCTTTGGTAAGATGCCTGTAATTTAGTGGAAGTAATAACAGGCTGTGTGCATTTTTCTGGATTTTTAAAATTCTAATTTAAGCGATAAGCAATTTATGCAATATCTTGAGGTTCCTTGACACATTGGAATTGAAAGAGGAGAAATGAAAAGAAATGACAAATCTTCTCTGTTTTCTATTTTTTTTCTATCCTTGTTTATGATTTTTCACTCATCAAGTATTTCTCAACGTGTGGTTTTCAAGAAGCAGGGTTTGATTAATGAAGTGTCAGATACAGAGGATGTCATGAGAATTTTGGCATTTATTGTTTGCAGCATTTAAATTAGCCATGATGTTTTCAATATTCCTTTTTTATTATTATTTACTGTATCTGTTGTTCTGTTAATAGTAAATATCAGAACATAGTAAATTCTGATTTTTAGACATCTACAGGAAGCGGATATCTATACTAAAATTATACCAGTTATTCAGATTTGACATTTTGATGGAAATGCTTTTATGGTTTTAAATGAAGACAAGGAAGTGTTTTTGTTTAAGTAAAAAATTTATTATAACTTCATCTGTTGAGGTGACCTTTCCTTAGCACTGCTCATAATTTATTAATATTTTTCAAGCTATAAACACTTAGGCAGTAGAATAGTTTCTTTTGTAGACCCTTTGTGGAGAATATTAGACTACCTAAATGCTAATGGCTTCAGTGCCGTAGGCGCTTATGTACCAGGCCCAAGGCCATCAAAATAATTTTATATGAGGAAATGGACAGCTATCAAAATCTGGTTAGAATTACTTTTTTGCAATATTAACATGTCAAATGGAAGTTCAGTTATTAATCCCTAATTTAGTAATTCCTTATTCTGGTCATCTGAAAACCTGTATACTAGATAATAGAATTCTGTATTATCATGATTTTCATATAGAAGGCATGCTCAGTTTAACTCTGCTGACAACAACTCTGGTATGAGCCACCAAGAATACTTCTGTGAAGGCTTTATGTCAGATTTGTGATTCATGTTGTTATAATTAGTGGATATTGCATATACTGTTTCCTTAACGTACTTATGACATGTCTATGAGCTTTTTCACTCCGATAAGACTGTAGAGAGAATTTTCACTTCTGACACTCCCACTTGAGTGTCAATCTTGGTATTATACTCTTAATGCTAGCAGCTCTACCTACCCTGCCTTTATTAATAGAACCTGTATAAAAGGAGAGGTAGAAAGAACCATATGTTGTATTTTGACTATTGCATTTTGACTGCATTTTTTTGCATTGTATCCTTGAATAAATTAATATATCTCCCAGATATATGTCGTATATTATATGTCATTATATGACATATTATATGTCTTCCTTATTACCAAAGAACTTCTTTTCCTGACCCATGTTAAAAGTTACTTCCATGTTTTTCCTGTACTCCCTTGTTGTGACATTTATTGATGGAATGTGCTGTTTGACAAGGACTGTGCTATTCTCACAATAGATAAACACTTTTGCTTAACTGTACCATTGAAAAAGCTTGTGATTCAAGAACCTAGATGATAGTGCTCCTGTATTGTGTAGAGGTGTTTGGAAATCTTCCCAGTGACTTTTCAGCAAGCACTTAATGTGATTCATAATGCTTTGGGATAGAATCATAGATCTGAGAGAGACCTACTACATCTTCATTTCCATTTTCATATGAGATCAGGTTATATTCCCTCAACAGAGGATGCATCGAGTATTAGATTCACACTGCATTTGCTTTCCAAACCTGGCAGGAAGAACATTGTCCAGAGAGTTCTTTAAAAAGCACAGAAAGAAACAAGGAATCAAGGCTGCCCTGTCTCTTTGTTTTAAAAATCCTATGTGGGTTTTTATGTTAGGCTTTCAGTGATGTTTTGAACAGCCATCTAGCTATATTATCTGCACTGAGACACCAACGTAGGTATGTAGCACATGAGCCCTCTGTGGGGGCATTTTCTGGATGTATGGTTATGTCTGAGGAGACAAAATTGCTGAATGTTTCTTTGGAACTAATTAGTATGACAGAGGACAAAAAGAAAAAAAATCCTATTTCTTAATGAATCTATCTGTTTCTCGGGTACAGAGAATATATTGTGAATATAATTTCGTTTAATTTATTGTACCACATTTCTGTGGTCAGAATAGATCACAATGAATTCAGGCTCTGTCATCTGTGGGAAGTTGCTGCAATAAATTCAGTTCTACAACTTAAATCTCTTTTTTTTTCTCTTTCTCTCTTCCCTTATCCATCCCTCCCCTCCCTTCCCTCCTCAGGCAGCCAAGGGCAGTTTCCACTTACACAGAACGTTACGGTTGTTGAAGGGGGAACAGCAAATTTGACCTGCAGGGTCGATCAAAATGATAACACCTCCCTCCAGTGGTCAAATCCAGCTCAACAGACACTGTACTTCGATGACAAGAAAGGTAACATTTTTCCTGAACTCATGGTTCTGCATAATTTTTTCTGAGGAAGAAATGTTTCTTAAAAAATTCTTTTTAATATTTTAATGTGCAAATATTTAATAGCATTATATATTTTCAGCTATAATTATTATATAATATTTTTGGAGGAGGCTTCACTGAAGTACTGTCTTGCATATAAAATTGTATGTTATTATTAAAAGAGTAATATTTGACATTCTTCTTGCAAGCTAATTTGAAAAACTGTTGCAAAATATCTTGGAAGATATTTTATCTTCCAAGCTGGCAAGAGAAGAAGTAGTTCATAAACCTTGTGACTTGCTTTTATTAATGTTTTTGAATGCGTCCCTACACATATTTATATATATATATAGATAGATATAAATATATATGTATACAAACCCACTATTTGCTTCAGGTGTACCACAGTTTGATTGTTAGTACAATACATAGTTGCTGTGTTAGGTGTTCTTAACAGCTAATAAAAATACGTGGTTTTAGTGCCCTGATTTTTCCAGTTATAGCATGGGCAGACTTTTTAATTTTAGTTAAATTAGAGGGAAAAAATGACAGGAAAATCTCCATTCCTTAGAAAAAGAAGGGCATTATCAGTTCAGTAGGTTATATTTTTAAGGTGTTTATCTTAATCTGGAATTAAAAAGCATTGCATTTTACAATGTTAATATAAAGATTACATTAGCTTCCATGAAGAAATTAAAACTAAAGTTATGAAGAATAAACTCATCACTTTGCTTCAAAAAGGAAAAAGCTGTGGTGTTGATTTCAGTGCCTCAACAGCATTTTATACTAAATTCTACTGCTTGAATTTATTCTGAAAGGTGCTATATACTCTGGAACATATTTTAACAAGTGCAGTTATTCCTCTGCTTAAAATTAAAGAAGTGCTGTCCAAATGCTTTGCTGAATGATTACAAGACTTTAAAACACCTCACAGGGCTGAAAATGCTTTGTAGATCTATGCACTTCAATAGAAGTGGAGTCTAAAACCTGTCATTTTATACCTGCAGAAGCTGCAATCAAAATATGTTTTTTTGCTATTAATATAATAGCTGAATGGAATCTCTTTATGGTGTTGAAGTGGTTCCTTTCTCTTTTATCTAATTTCCTGTAGCGTGTAATCATTTGAATTGCAATTTCTTTGAAATCCTAAGTACCATTTGAATGTGGGGTTGAAGATGAGAGGTTTATAAGGTGCAAACTTTTGAGCTGTAAGTCTAGTCCTGTAACCTTTACTCATATGCACCCCTTTATTTTAGCTGTAATCATTAGTTATTTGGGATGGATAAATAATGTCTGTAAAACTAAAAGCAGAGAGAACTTGTCTGTTGATAGAGCACATCAATACTCACAAAATCTATATCTTTTATAAAATAAGTGACATTTGAAAGGATGCTGAGAAGGACGTGGGAGGACTGCAAATAGATTAATTTGAACTTTGTAGCCATTTTGGTGTGAATTGAATTTTCTGTGTACTTAGCTAAATCTGTACTTTTAAAATGAATAATTGAAGTTTTTATTACTTTTTGATATAATGAATTGAAGCAACAGAATTTGAATGGCATGCAGCATAGTAAGTACTTAAAAGCAATTTATATTCCCCACAGGAAATGTGAAGAGCTGAAGTGCGTAAATTTAAAGGACCACAGTCTTTGTTGAACTTCTAGCTTGTCCCAAGACAACAAGGAATATTTAATGATTCATTTTACAAAAGGATTACTGTGCATATCTTGATGTGGTCAAGAAAAACTTCAGATCCTTTATTCAGAGATACTTACCTTTTCTTGTCTTGGGAAAGCATTGCATTCTGTGTGACAATTCCAGACTTGAGTATACGGAGGGGAATGAGCAGTGCATCCAGGTCCTACATGGAAAACATTTTACCTTTTCTGAAAATGAAATTACAGCTTTCATTGACAATTTTTTCTGTGTGTATGTGTGCGTGTTCTTATAAGTAAGAAAGAGATTTCCTGGACATGCTTTTGATGCTTGCATTATTGAGCCAAAATGGAGAGAGATATTTATGACACTGATATCTAGGTGGCTTTCTCAGTAAATGATGGCAGGTGCAACTGTAAAGACTTCCTCCTTTTTTTTTTTTCCTTTCCCACTACAAGGCATACAAGTTAGCTATAAAAAGCAACTTTCTACTAGATCCAGTCATTACATCTAAGTTTTTGAGAGCAGTGCCTCTGCCAGTCTTTTCAAACCTGACTCGTAATGTTAGCCAAAACCAACCTTCAGATCATACTTCTCCCTTCAACACCATGAAAATTGCTGTTTAATAGCTATGATTCTCAAACCCTGAAAATTAATGAAGACCATTGAGTAGTTTTAAGGTGTAGGTTTAAGTTCTGTGTAGAAAACAGACCCGTAGAAAAGGAGCACCACCAGTAGTCTTTATATCCATCAGAGCTGAGTAACTGTGGATGTAACTATGTTCAGACTAAATCAAATTTGCATGCCTATAACTTTACTTTCCTTCAGTAAGTTATTTTCTACATATGTACATATAAGAATGACATACATGGGAATGACAGTATATTTCTTTGAAGTCCAGAAGCACACACAAAAAAAAAATCAGGAAACCTTTCTATTGATTGCTCTAAATCTTAATAATTATAAGAGAGTCAAGTAGTAAAATGAAGGAAGTCAGGAAAGTATCAAAAGAGGTTCCTAACTGCAGCAGCAGATGAGGGTCATGACAGCAATTAGCATATGACTAAACAGCAGATTTTCCATGCAGTAGAAAGCCCTTTGCTGCTAGATTATCCTTGGTGAGGCCCATTTCATGTTCATACTTATTTCTCAAGCAAGATGGTTCCCCTGTCTTGAAAAAACATTTTCTGACCAAAATGGATCTTGCCATGGGCCAGGAAAAAAAGAGTCACTTTGTCACGTAGAGGGAATATCTGCTTCCCAGTTTCATGCCTTTCAACAAGGGGATTATTATTAGTCTCCATTTTATTCAAAATGGATGACATAGATTATGAAATGCATGTTTTTTTGAAATGTGATGAAATCATTGAAACCAAAGAGTCATGTTCTTCCTTTTTCTGTTTCACATGTTCCGTATAAGTATGGAAATGCAATGAGCCAAATACACTAATACCAAAGCTACATTGTTAACATAATTCTTCTGGTTCTCCTCAAATTCTGCCATGGCCACATGCTTTTAAGTACAAATTTTGCTCAGTTAGATGGATTTGGGGGTTGGTAATAAAAATTTCCACCCTCACTCTCCCAACAATTTAGTATTTATTTAATATTAATGAAGGAGACAAAGAATATTTTTAACTTGAGTGATTTTTGGCACCTAGCCTATGTGGTCTTATGATGATATAGATAAAAAATGAGCAAAGTTTTGTTTCAGAAAAGTCAGTGCTCTAAATTTAGTGAATATGAAATCGCAGTTCGTAGGTTGTTTCCAGATCTTCATCACTTCAAGTTGCTGATTTGGGTTTTGTAGCAAATTTAGCTTAAAATGTGTTTGACTAATTGTGCTGATGGGAACTGGGGTTGGCAAAAAATATTGTTTTCCAGCAGGAAAATAAGTAATAGCTTTATTTTATTTGCTAAGCAATGTAGAATAGTTGCTTCCCTGCAACTCTTATTTTGAAAATCTGAAGTATATTAAGGCTGAAACTAACTTCGTATTCATTATTATTTTAACATACAGCAGCTAAAATATGTGAAAATTCAAATTTATGATCCTGTGGATTTGGTTTCATTGATGACCTGTCTCCTTCAGCGTGCTGTCTCTGTTGTCCTTTGTGACACTTCTGTTTTTCTGGTCCCTCTACATCGTAGCTTCAAGGACGTTGTGTATCAATTTGATTTTTAACTCTTCTTCTTTCATTTGAAGTATAAAATCTTCACCTGATAGTAAAAACTAGATAGTCTAGTTGCATAAATGGATGAATTACCTCAATTTTTAATAGGCTTAACCACCTTACCAAGACTCTCATCAGATTCCCATCGCCCAGACAGATTTTTTTTGAAGATTGTGTCTTCCTGTAAAATATGAATTCACAGCTCACCCTGAGCAAGTCCAGATGCTTTGGAAACACATGAAAATTACATGCCGCACATTAAACGAGTTTTTCCCTACGCAATTTTCAATTAAAATTAATAATTGCCATAGAAACCTCGACATCACTTTATGCACCCAAGTAGCTATAATTATCTAGCTACATTTGGAAGAAGTAGCTACCTTTGGAAGAAGCACAATGTACAACAATTTAGAACGGGCATATATGATTTTAAATTAATATAGGTTACTTTATCTTGTCTACACTGTTGGTACTTCTTAAGGATTTCGAGTCGGCAATAAACACAGAGAGACATGAATATGAATGCAGATACATAACAAAAAGGGTGTAGCATGGAAACACGGAGATGGTTGATAAAGAGAAGACTAAAAACCTTCATTCAGCTTGCTGTAACAGCTGTCTTCTCATATTCTCTTTCGGTAGGAAATATATATACATATGGAGCAGGATATTGAGTTATAAAGGAGACATGTACAACTGAATGATGGTTGTTGATGTCAAAGGTATTTAATCTCATCAGTATAAAAATGTTCAATGAGACTTTAAAAGGAAGCGAAATGGTACCTGGTGTATACACACCTAACAGTTTTGCTCAGTCAGGCAAGTGTGAAATACCTGCTCTTTACCTTAATAGGGAAGTTTGCAGGCCTATTGATAGTAAAACAAGTGTTGTATTGACATTGATCATGATGAGCTTGTCCCAAAGTGACACACCAGATTTTGACAAGACATATGCCTGATGCTAATCATAGATGGGTACGTGTCCCTTGTGCTTTCATCTGGTAATAAAACTTTCATGTCTTACTAAAAAATTAGAAAGCGTATTCCAACCTTAGGATTATTCATCCCTCAGCAGCAGAATATGTTTCTTTAGATGACCTTTGATTTTTTACATGTGAGAGTACTTGGCATTTATGTAATTCCCTATCATCT